AGCTCAATTTGTGGGGAAAAAAAAGGGTGTAAATTTCATTTATGTACCATTTTGCATGACCGCGCAATTGTCCGTTAAACTAGCACAGTGCTGTATAGCAAACAAATGGCGTAAATTGCAGTATCTATACCATAGTTTGTAGACGCTATAACTTTCACATAAAGCAATCAAAATACACTTATTGGGATTTTTTTTTACCAAAAACATGTAGCAGAATACATTTTGGCCTAAATTTATAACCAACTTTGAGTTTACTATATATTTTTTATAGCTGAAAGTAAAAAATATTGTTTTTCTTCAAAATGTTTGGACTTTTTTTGTTTATAGCGTGAAAAACAAAAAGCGCACAGGTGATCAAATACCACCGAAAGCAAGCTCTATTTGTGTAAAAAAAAGGACGTAAATATTGTTTGGGTGCAGCATTGCATAACCGCGCAATTATCAGTTGAATTAATGCAGCGCCGAGTAGCAAAAAGAGGCCTGGTCATTAAGGGGGGTAAATCCTCTGGAGGTCAAGTGGTTAAGGCCTCTTACCAAATCAGAGGAAAGTTTTCAGGATGCAGTTGTGATCTCTTCCTGCACTAATAGAGCTAAACTTGTGAAGCAAGGCTTCAGGGCATTGCTCAGGAGGACTGGTCAGTACAGAGGGGAACTGTTGCAGGCTATCCTCCCCGGAGTCAGGATCAGCAGCCGAGAGCTGGTGTTATCCGGTAAAAGGGGATCGGGTGCCATATTGTCTGTTCTCAGGAACGGAGAGGCCCTCTGTTGTGCCTGGTGTTTGGGCTTGTTTTTTGGGGTGTGATGCATCCCCTGATGTTGCCCAGGTGTCTGGGGAGTACTACCTGCAGTGGGGGCTTCGGTGGAGGAGTATAGGAGCCCGATGTGCCGAGGGCTAGGTTACTGCAGAGCTGGAGAGTTAAGCAGCCATCAGCCCTGGCTGCATGCATGCGCCCCCCAGTAATATGAAATTTTTAATAAATTCTAGTTTGCACCTTCTTTTATTCATTTGTTGATTACCCTGATCTGGACAAGTAGCTGTGTTGGCAGACGATTCGCAAGATTGCTTCTACTGATTTCATCAAGATTCTTTGGATTCATGATTTTTAGTTCTATGTCTGGTTTATGGTAGCCAGGTTGGGCAGAAGATCCTCACCTGCTGTCACAGTGAGGACATGGGGGGAGAGGGGGCAAGGGCAGCTGCCTGAATATGGGTTGAACACATAACATGTTATAAAAAGGTGAACTTGTCCTTTAAAGCTATGGAGCTACATGTACCAGCATGCCTGCTGGTCTATTTGAATAGAGGAGAAAGATCAGCAGCAAAGCTGTTGATCTGAGACAGGCTGTTAGGGGATATCCAAGCATTTGCTCAATCTTCCCCTTCTGGGAATGGAACAACTCCCTTTTTATAATTTGCAGACTTCCTCTTTTGACTATATAAATTTGGTCTCCAGAAAACCTCCTGAACGGGGGGGTTCGGGGGGGGCCCTTTCTCCCATAACTTAAATGGTTGTGATGATACGGTAACTCTGGACTGACCATAGCCCCTTCAGACATTGTTTTCACTTGCTGCTTTGCCCTCTACAATCTTGGATATTTTAATATATCCTTAGAATGGTATTACCTCAACTGATCCTGCTATCTACAGTAGTTGCTGAAATGTTAATCACTAACCTTACACACTTCTTGTCACAACATTTCAACACTGCTACTACAACCCTTGTTACCATTGTCATTATGCCCTAGCTCAGAGTAGATACAAGCTGTTCCCCATGCCTACAAGTGAAAAACCAACTTGACTTTATATTTTGGGGTACTAAAACCACCCATCCTATTTCTTTCCTTTCTATTGTCTTTCTCACATTTTTTTTTCCTTTTACATTATCTTGCCCTTCTACTCTACCCCTAACTTCCTTCCCTTTTCACAGTCATGCAGCCAGGGGGGTTGCTATTTCATGGATACAAAGATCTACAAGAACAAAGAAATAACAAACCCACAAGACCAATCCTATCTATTGCAAGGGGTCCATCTTTTTGAGCTCCTCTTCACCAACACAAGAAAGGTACCCCTTTCCTATGTGAAGATTCAAATGTAGTCTTAAAGCTTATATGTAGCTGAAATAATAAAAAGCAGAAAAATAAGCACATGGGACATAACTTGCAGTCAGTAGGCTGTCTCTTATGCGGATTCCTCTTCCAGAAGCTTGTGGCAACAGGGATGGGGAGCATAAAAGGAGTAATATTTCTACTAACAAGTAGAAATATTCCACTTTCATGCTCCACCACCGTTGCCACAATCTTCCAGTGTGGTAGCCGGAGTATGCATTTATTCATGTACTCCATGTACTACTACAGGAGCCCCCTGCCCCAAAGCACCTCGTCCCTATGTTGATGGGGACGAGGGCCTCTTTTTGACAACCCTGGGCGGTGGTTGTCGGGTCTGTGGGTGGGGGCTTATCAGAATCTGGCCCACCCGCATGTAAATAAGAGTGGGGTAAACATACTTATTTACCAAGAAAAAAGTGACAGAGGTAATTAAAAACACAGACAAGTCCTTAAAAAAAAAAAAATAAAGAGTTCCCATTTGTTCCCCAAAGTAAATCCAGCGTCAATCGCGATGAACTCTGTTGTCATCGCCCTGAAAAAAAAAAAAAAGGGGCAGGGCCAAAGAGTTCTGCACTCCTTGCCTGCCAATCTCTGGTTCCTGCCAACAGTAAATAAACAAAGGGGCGTCTTTGTTTATTTATTGTCCGCACTGTCAGTAGCTTTCAGTCCCCAGGTGCCTAGCAATGCTAAATAAACAAAGGGGCAGGGCCACCCACTGTCACCAGCAGGGGCGGACTGACCATTCGAGCACTCGGGCACTGCCCGAGGGTCCGGGTCATTCCACTTGAGAGGCCTTTCAGACAATCGTTATTGAAAGTCAGCAGGGGGCCCCATAAAATGCCCCTGGTACCTTTTATAGACTTTTTTGGGTGTGTTTTTTGAGTGTGGGCAAGGACACAGGGGCCCCATGATCCCCAATTGCCCGGGGGCCCCATGAGTTGTCAGTCCACCCCTGGTCACAGTGACCCCTCTTGCTTTGTTTATTTACCATTGGTGGGAACCAGACATATCAGAGGCTTTTTTTTTTTTTATATTTTTCAGGTCAGCTGTGGTGGTGATCATGAGTGATGCTGGATTTACTTTGGGGGCAGATGGTGTTTTTTTGTTTTTGTATATTAATAAAGGACTTTATTTTTTTACAATTTTTTTGGCAAATTTGTAAGTGTACTATATACACCATAATTTACATTTTACATAGGTAGGGGCTGGGATCTGGGGGCCCCCTTGTTAAAGGGGGCTTCCAGATTTGGATAAATCCCCTGCCCCCAGACCCACACAACCACTGCCCAGGGTTGTGGGGAAAAAGAGGACACTGTCCCCATCAATATGGGGACAAAGTGCTTTGGGGGGCCCCTCATGGATTTTGGGGAGGACCCCAAAATTGTGACATGGGGTTTTCCTAAAAATCCATACCAGACCTGAAAAATCAGTGTGCTTACAGTGAAACACACACACAGCCCACATAGTAAAACAGCACACAGTTAACCCTTTGATTGCCCCACATGTTAACCCCTTCCTGCCCAGTGCCATTGGTACAGTGTCAGTGCTTTTTATTAGCACTGATCACTGTATTGGTGTCACTGGGGATGTCAGTGACACCAAGTCAGTTCCCCCCAATGTCAGAATTCCCACCGCAGTCACGCCATAAGTCTCTGATTGCCGCATTTAATAGTAAAGTAAAAAAAAATTTCCATTATATATACCGCCATTTGAAAACGCTATAACTTTCACGTAAACCAATTAATTTACATGTATTGGGATTTTTTTTTTTTTAGCAAAGACATGTAGCAGAATACATTTTGGCTTAAAGTTATGATGAAATGTGATTTTTTTTTTTCTGGACATGTTTAATGGCAAAAAGTCAAAAATATCGTTTTTTTTCAAAATTGTCTCTTTTTTGTTTATAGCACAAACAAAACGCACAGGCAATCAAATACCACCAAAAGAAAGCTCTATTTGTGGGAAAAAAAAGGACATAAATCTCATTTGGGTTCAGCATTGCATGATCGTGCAATCATCAGTTAAAGTACCACAGTGCCGTATCGCAAAAAATGGCCTGGTCAGGAAGGGGGGTAATTCCTCTGGAGGGTTAAATAAAGGACTTGTCAAAAACTGTCTGTTTTTATTTATTTATGACACTTTTTTGGGTGAATGAGTAGAAGTACAAGGTACTCCTTCAGATGGGGGGCCGAGATTTAGGGGCCCCCTTGTAAAAGTTCCCACCGCCAGTCCCACACAACCCCTGCCCGGGTTGTTGGGAAGAGACCCTTGTTTTGGGGTGGAGCTCCCCTGCTCCAAAGCACCACCTCATGTTGAAGGCATGTGGCCTGGAGTGATTCAGGAGGGGGGCAATCGCTCATCTACCCCCCCCCCCCCCTTTCCTGACCTGCTGGGCTGTATGCTCGGATAAGAATCTGGTATGGACTTTAGTACAGTCTTTATTATTTTTGCATGGGGTTCCATACTAGAGCCAACAGTTTTTAACCTTTTAATGGTGGCACTGGTTTGTTTATATTCTGCATCCTTACCACTAGCCTACAGGGCACTTATACCCCCTTCCTGCCCAGGCCAATTTCCAGCTTTCAGCGCTGTCACACTTTGAATGACAATTGCACGGTCATGCCACACTGTACTCATATGAAATTTTTATCATTTTTTTAAGACAGATGGAGCTTTCTTTTGGTGGTATTTAATCACCTCTGGGATTTTTATTGTTTCTTAAACCAAAAACCACAGAAAATTTTGAAAAAAAAAAAAGTTTTTTTTAGTTTTTGTTATACAATTTTGTAAATATGTGATTTTTCTCCTTCACTGATGTGCGCTGATACATGACACTGATATATGGCACTGATAGGCGGGACTGATAGGCGGCATTGACTGGCACTGATAGGCGGCACTGACTGACACTGATAGGCAACACTGACTGGCATTGATAGGTGGCACTGACTGGCACTGATGGGTGACATTGAAAGGCAGCTCAGATGGGCACTGATATGTGGCATTGATGTGCACTGGTATGCACTGATATGTGGCATTGATGTGGTACTGATGGGCACTGGCACGTGGCACTAATGAGCACTGACAGGTGGCACTTCTGGGGCCACACTGATCATCAGTGCCCTGATGATCAGTGTACATGTCCCCTCCGCGGAAAGCCGATTATCGGCTCTCCTCTCCTCTCGAGCTGTCAGCGTGACAGCTCAAGAGGAGAGAAAATGACGATAACCGGCTTTTCCGTGTTTACATGTGATCAGCTGTGATTGGACACAGCTGATCACATGACCGAACTGACATCTTCGGCTCTTTCCGTGATCCGTTGTGTCCGAGGGACACAGCGCACAGGCGATCGCCGCGCTGCGCGCTCCCTGAGCCGCGCATGCGCAGTGAGAATGGTAGGATGTCATATGACGTCCTATCAGAATGAGAGAACCTTGCGCCCGTCATTGTACTATAGGGTGGGCGGAAGGTGGTTAACCACTTGCCATCCAGAGGATTTACCCCCCTTCCTTACCAGGCCTCTTTTTGCTACTCGGCGCTGCACTAATTCAACTGATAATTGCGCGGTCATACTGCACCCAAACAAAATGCTGCACCCAAACAAAATTTACATCCTTTTTTCACATAAATAGAGCTTTCTTTTAGTGGTATTTGATCACCTGTGCGCTTTTTATTTTTCACGCTATAAACAAAAAAAAAAAAATTTAAGAAAAACAATATTTTTTACTTTCAGCAATAAAAAATATATAGTAAACTCATAGTTGGTTATAAATTTAGGCTAAAATGTATTCTGCTACATGTTTTTGGTAAAAAAAATCCCAATAAGTATATATTGATCGCTTTGTGTGAAACTTATAGCGTCTACAAACTATGGTATAGATACTGCAATTTACGCCACTTTTTTGCTATATAGCGCTGTGCTAGTTTAACGGACAATTGCACGGTCATGCAATACGGTTACATAAATGAAATTTATGTCCTTTTTTTCACACAAATAGAGCTTTCTTTTGGTGGTTTTTTGGCTTTTATTTTATCACCTGTGCGCTTTTTATTTTTGTCGCTATAAACAAAAACAGTTTTGAAGAAAAAAAAACTTTTTTTGAAAACAATATTTTCACATGTCGGTCATAAAAATTATCCAAAAAAACTAAAATTTCGTAAAAAATGTAGGGCAAAATGTATTCTGCTACATTTTTTTGGTTAAAAAATCCCAGTAAGTGTACATTTTATTGGTTTGTGTGAAAATTATAGCGTCTACAAACTATGGTATAGATAATGGAATTTACACAGCATTTACTTTCTGACTGCCCATCACTTTTCATGAGGTGCTAAAATGCCAGGATAGTAAAAACACCCTCAAATTACCCCTTTTCGTAAAGTAGACACCCTAAGCTATCTGCTGAAAGGCATACTGTGTCCATGGAAGATTTATTTTTTTTCCACAAGTTTCTGGAAAATTACAAAAACATTTTTATTTTTTTTTATACACAAAGTTGTCATTTAAATGATTTATTTCTCGCATAAGCCATGCATGGGTATATGTGGAATTACACCCCAAAATACATTCTGCTACTTCTACTGAGTATGAGGATACCACACTTGTGAGACTATTTGAGAGCCTAGTCACTTACAAGAGCCTGAAATCCAATGACCACTTTGAAACCCTGAAGTTGTGTAACTTCCTCATTTCACTTCCTCAATACCTATCACAGTTTTGAAGGCCCAAACATGCTAGGATAGCACCCCCCCCCAAATGACCCCTTTTTGGAAAGTAGACACCCCAAGGAATTTAAAAAAGAGGCATGGAGAGTATTTTGCAGATCTAATTTTTTCTCACAAGGTTTTGAAATATAAAAAAAGGAATAGAAAAAATTTGTTTTTTTTTTTCTTCATTTTCCAAAAACATGTGGCAACAAATGAGATCTGCAAAATACTTACCATGCTTCCTATCAAATTCCTTGGGGTGTCTACTTTCCAAAAAGGGATCATTTGGGGGGGGGGGGGTTAGGTGCTATCCCGGCATTTCAGGGCCTCCAAAACTGTGATACCCGGAATTCAGGTGGAAATAGAAAATTTAACTTAATTTTTGGAGCCGTTTTTACACGGAATATCTGTATGCGTTGATTGTGGATCAAAGCAATTTTTAATCACAACAATTTAATCGCCACCAACCAAAATTCGAACCTTGCCAGACCATTCGCATGGAAACCGATTACGGTTTCCGAATTTACTTTTTTTGGGGGCCTAACCCCAAATGGGCATTACTAAATGAAATGAATTCCAGTTGTATTGGTCCGCAGACCTGATTAATCATATACCGTGTTCTATGCTGCCATGGCCAGGCATAGATATATGAGAGTATAATGTGTTTTATGCATTTCAACGACAATACACTCTGTAGTCCTTGGGGTAACCCTGAATTTGACCGGCTACACAAAATTCAGCCCTTCGCAAATCACCTTAATGAAAAATTTGCAGATGTCTATACTCCCCAGCAAAAAATCTGCTTTGATGAGTCCCGAATTAATTTTTCTGGCCGCCTTGCATTCAAACAATCTCTCCCCTGCAAGCGTATGGGGTCAAGATGTAGAAGACCTGTGAGAGGGCAACAGGCTATACTTATACGTTTCGGTTTTACAAGGGAAAAGATAGTCATGTGGAGCCCTGCGGATGCCCAGACTACATGGGGAGCAGTGGCAAGATAGTTTGGGACTTGTCATCCTTTTTCCATATGGGGTACCACTTATACGTGGACAATTTTTATTCAAGCGTGCCACTGTTTAGACATTTGTACAGTCTTGGAACTGGCGCTTGTGGCAAAGTGTGACCTAATGTGTGTCCACCATTAGAAGTGTCGTGGATGCAGGGCGGTATATTTTAATGGTGGGCATACCACACACTTTTTTTTTGGCAGAGACAGTCCACAGGCTGCATAAAAAACAAAACAAAAGAACATACAGTAGCATATATACCTAACTAGAACCAGCGACATACTGGTACATCACTGGACTGAGTGGTTATACCAGGATAATGCCTACAGCTGCAGGCATCATCCTAGTATCATTTTTTTCAGCTGGCGATCAGCTTTCATGTAAAAGCAATCCTAGTGGCTAATTAACTGCAGGACTGCTTTTACAAGCAGCGGGAGACAATACCTCCCCCGCTGCCTTCCACGGCCTTCCCGGGCAGTCCCGAGCCATAGGGGAAACCTGAGAATGCAGCCGGTGTTTCTGCCAGTTGACCATAGAGCTGATTGGAGACCAGAATGGTGCCAATCATCTCTATAGCCTAAGAATTTATAAGCTACGAGCATTTCATCACTTCAGTTCTGCAGGATATAAACATCACCATTTGTAAATTGGGAAAGCATTTGATCACACCGATTTTGGTTTGATTAGATAATGTAAGGGTAAAGGAGAGATCTAGAGTCTGATAGACCCCCGATTTCTCAAAAAAGAATATATGACAATGCCCATTGAAGTTATAGGGGATATTTGCATTCCCTGTGATAGCATTAAAAGTGATCAAAAAAAAAAATTTAAAAAAATGACAGTATAAAAATAATTAAAAAAAAATCAAAATAAATTAAAAAAAAAAAAAAAAAAAGTACCCTCGCCCCCCGCGCATTCACGCACCTGCGTTCATGAGCGTTGACCCTGTGCCAGTATGGAAACAGCAGTTGCACCATGCATGTGAGGTATCGCCACGAACTTCAGATCAAGGGCAGTAATTCTAACACTAGACCGCCTCTGTAAATCTAAAATGGTAGCTTGTAAAGGCTTTTAAACATTGCCTATGGATATTAAAAACGTATGCAGTTTGTCGCCATTGCACGGGGCATGCGCAATTTTAAAGCATGTCATGTTTGGTATCCATTTACTCGGCATACCATCATCTTTTATATTATATTATTATTTTATTTTACCAAATAATTGGCCAATATATTGTGTTTTTGTGCATTAAAAGTAAAAAAAGTGTATTTTTAAAAAAAATTGCGTTTGAAAAATCGCTGCGTGAGTACTATGTGCCATAAAAAATTGTAGTACCCACCATTTTAGTCACTAGGGTGTCTGCTTTAAAAAAATATATAATATTTGGGGTTCAAATTAATTTTCTAGCAAAAAAAGACTAATTTTGTTTCATGTGAACAAAAAGTGTCAGAAAAGGCTTGGTCTTTAGGTGGTAACAAGAGTGAGTGATGTGTGGCATAAACTTCTAATGCTGGGCATAAAACCCCCCACCCCCAAAACGATCCCTTTTTGGAAAGTAGACACCCCAAACTATTTGCTGAGAAGCATGTTGAATCAATAGAAGAATTTGTCATTTTCCAAAAACTAGTGGTAAAAAAATAAACAAAATTGTTTTTTTTTTTTTTTACACACAGAATTGCCACTTAAATGATTTACTGCTCACACATGCCATGGGTATATGTGGAATTACTCCCCAAAATACATTCTGCTACTTCTCCCGAGTATGGAGGTACCACATGTGAGAGATGTTTTGGCAGTCTAGCCAAGTACAGGACTCCAAAATCCAATAAGCATCTTCAGGCTTTTAAAGGACTTTATTTCCTCATTACACTTTCTATAATATGTGTATGTGTGTGTATATGTATGTATGTATGTATGTATGTGATTTTGCGCACCTGTGCCGCCCTGTAACAGTATTTCTGCTATAGGGTGGTCAGGAAGCGGTTACAGAAGTGGTTTGTGTTACGTCGCTGCGTTACTTTAACTGACAATTGCGTGGTCATGCAACACTGCACCCAAATTAAATTTACGTCCTTTTTTTCCCCACAAATTGAGCTTTCTTTTGGTGGTATTTGATCGCTTGTGCGTTTTTTATTTTTTGCGCTATATAAAAAAAAAAAAGGCTGACAATTTTGAAAAAAAGACAATATTTTGGACTTTTTGCTATAAAACATGTCCAATAAAAAAATGTTAAAATCAAATTTTGTCAAATTTCGGCCAAAATGTATTTTGTCTTTGCTAAAAAAAATCCCAATACGTGTAAATTAATTGGTTTACGTGAAAGTTATAGCGTTTACAAATGGCGGGAAAGATAGTGGGCTTTTTTTTTAATAATAATTGCGGCAATCAGCGACTTATGGTGGTGATCAGCGATTTATGACAGTGATTAGCGACTTATGGCGGGACTTGGGGTCACTGACATCCCCAGTGACACCAATACAGTGATCAGTGAAAAAAAAACACTGACACTGTACTAATGGCACTGGGGAGGAAGGGGTTCACTTTTTTAATTCAATGAAA